ATATATATGTATATATATTCATATATATATACATATGTGGAAAGACAAGCAAAACCAGTCACTCGTCGCAAAAATTTATTTTAGTTATTAATAAAGAGTTAAACAGTAAAATGAGAGCTACGAAATGGTAAAAGATTCATTTAAATCCGACGCTTCGTTATGAAGGTACAGGAGCTTAAATATACAGCCAGTTTGATTTGAGAAATCAGCCTTTAAAGTTTAAGATTTTGGGCAATTCGAACGCAGAAACCACCACCAAATCATTAAAAATTGTTGTTTTAACATTGAAAATGGGGAAAATAACAGGATAGCATGATGTATAAATATATAAAAGTTAGCTTAGTGCAATAAAATAGATTTCAAAAACGTTGACATTCCAGCATGTTTTGGCCATTACCTCTGAAACTGGATTTGCGACGAGTGACTTGTTTGTCTTCACCTGACACACACACCCCACACATACACACAGCCCCCACCCATGCACACACACACAAATATATATTTCATGCTGTAGCAATCTTTTATGTTCAAGCATTTTCATTGAGCACTTACTGTATGTCACTGATATTGACAACCATATTATATATAAATTGTAACATTGATTGAAACAACTTACAGTTTGCACAGCACTTTGTATCCTCTGGAAAAGGCGCTATATTAAACACCATTACCATACCATAAAGTACTATATGATATTTTAATGTTTATATGTAAAACAAATATGGATAATAATAATATAAAAAATAATTTATTAACTATAAAATAAAATACTATTCAAATGTAATGAAAACTAGATTTATGTGTATTTTCAAAGAAATACAATATATATCTAAATGAAGAAATTATTTTTGAGATGATGTTGTAAACTGTCACACTGTCTCCTCATAAATAAAACCAATGAAACATGATAAACAACAGTATTAAAGCCAGTAGTAGTGAAGTACATTATAATTACAATGTAGAAGACCAGCTCATATCCTGATACTCTACACCTGACGGGGCAGAAGTTCAGGGATAAAAATTTATGTTTTGACAAAAAGTACACCAAAGATTTGTTGAAATTTAGTTTAATCCTAAAATATGTGTATTACGAATCATTTTTATTTGTTCTCAATGTCACATATAGGCCTCCTGTAAATGGTTGATGATTTATTTAAAATCCAATCCAAAATCATAAATATTAATTATGGTATTCTACTAGTAGATAGTCTCTTTTTGTAGATACTATAGCTTTTTTAGGCCAGAATTTGTGTTTGACAGTGATGTTTATATATAACTTTGGCTATTAGGAGAATTCCAAATAATATGGAAATTCCCACTGTTTAAGGTGTGCCGTACTGTACAACATTTCATAGGGCTTGAATGCAATTTAGTGTTTCAAGTGAATTCCATTCAGGTATTTTAAGGTTATTAATTCTCTTTTTAAAATTCAGTTTACAGCATATATGCATTGCTACGCACCGATAGATTCTTTTCTTAATCATAACAATGAAGCTATTGAGAATTATTTATGCAAACTGAATTTACAGGTCAGGCCGGAATATCTGTGAAAACGTCTGTGTACGGATAACAGAGGCACACACAATAGGCTGAGTTTTTACTCTGGTTTTCCAGACAAAAGATTTAATTTTTATGCTTCTGATTCTGTAGCAGGCTTAAATTAATCTTTGTGTTTTCAGGAGACATCAGCATTTTACATCATTTTACAATAGAGCTAAACATTGACAGTCTGTGAGGAGGGGCTACTAATATTAAAATAAAAATTAACTTAAAATGAACAACACACTTTTTTTGAGAGGAGCGATTGGAAGAAAAAGTATTACTGTTTAGAAAATGGTAATTACATTTAAGGTTTTTTTTTCTTTGCCATCATTTTTTTCTTTTTCTCTCTTTTTTTTCTTTCTTTTTTACCTCCCGAAAGGGGGAGCCGGGGCCGGGCCGGCCCCCCCCCCAAATCCGCCCCTGTTACTAGTTTGATAAATCTGGCCCCAGGGCCTTCCTAAATGCTATACAATGGGCCTAGAAAAGCAATACTGGACAGAGAAATATCAAAATAGTGACCAAATCATGTAATTTGTATATTGAATAATGTGAATTATAAAATGTATTGCACAAATGGAAAATAAATTGTTCAAGATATTGAATGAGTCCAATCTAGATGGTTTGAGAAGCTATTACTGAATGAATATAGTGAAGATAATAAAATTTAATACATTGTTTGAAGGATTGCATGGCGAAGTAATAATATTAATGCTTGCGGTACACCATTGTTGGTTGAGAATGTCCCAATCAACATTCTCAACCAATAACAGTTCTTTTCACAACAATCTACGTGGTACCGCAGGCATTAAAATATGTAAAATTTAATATGCAATATGAATAACAAAAATAGATATATTTACATGAGTAAAAAAAAATGTGAGAGAATGTATTAAATCAAAATTGAATCTGCAAATTTGTTTAAAAAAAATGAACATTTTGTGGGTTGTATGAGACATTTGGACACATGCTTAACATGGGCCCAAATTTCCTTATAAAATAAAGAATTGCAATTAATCTAGGATTCCTAAAGCAGTATGCATATGGAATCATGAAGTCACTCTATGAGGTGTTGAGTGTAATGAAATAATTTTTAAATCATAAATTCAATTGAGAATGCGGAAATAAATGATCCCTATTCAAATGAAAACTTATTCAATTAAATTCAACTTTATTAACCTGAGAAAACACTCAAATTTACGATTTAGACCGATTCAATAGACCGAATTAGTCACCAAACCAAAGCCGTTACAGTGGGTATAACATCAAAACAAACTGCTAGGTGGCAGTTTTTTCACACAATAATAAGCCTTCACTTGAGTAAATTTAAACTCCTCAAACTTATTTAATTGTACATTTTATCGTAAAATAATTCTTATCGAAAAGCCTTGGTAAATATTTCTTTCATAAACGTCAAAGTATTGACCCGTTAGATTTGAAATGGAGTGAAAGAAACAAATAAGTATCTTCATCTACATTAGTTGGATTAAATCACAACCCCCACCCAACCCCACACATGCCTATTTGTGTTTTTTGACCAAGATGAGCTTCCACAAATAAATCTAGATTTAGTTTTACAACTCACATATACTGCTGTATTCTACACTAATTTTACCACTAACCACAACAATCTCAATCAGTTAAACTTGCCTAAACGATTTTGCCTACCTCTAATTTTTAAGTCAACCATATTAATAATAATAATAATAATACATATTGATTTATAGATCGCATAATGCATAAAGCCTGTATGCGCATGACATTTGTTTTGAGCTATGCCTACTCTTAAACTAGGTATGGTTGGCTTTTGAATCCAGAGAGTTCATACGCCCTCTGTTCAGCTGCTTTTATTGTTGCAGGGTTACCATGACACCCTCCCACTTCGATGCCCGCTAAAGATCACAAAAAGAGGTTGTCAGATTAGACGCTGGCGGCTCGACCGGATGCAGTTTAATGTCATAAACAGGTTAAAAATATCCCTCGCCGTACACTATCCCATGATTTATGAGTTGTTGTTTCTTTCATTAATTAACGATCTGTAAGTCAAATTTTATCTAGGTCGAACAATTTTTCTATGCCATTTTGGATTTGACTTAGGCAAGTTCAATTGTAGTTCAATTTATATGTTATCTCATTGTAGAGCTTTCAGCTGTACAAGTCCTGTATCAACATCCCATCTTGATATTTGTGGTACATTGAGACTTTGTATGCTCAGCACAATTCAGTCAATATAACAACCCTGTTAATTCAACAGCGCCCTCATTCAATTGATCACAGGTAGCAACAAGTACACCATTTACACTACTAGTCGACATTAGAATCAAGGTAAGAGTCTTATAAGATTGTATTATATTAAAGTCAGCAACTTTTTACATTTTGTATTGCCAAACTTAATAAATTAATGTATACTTGAGAATGACCTATATCATCTTCAATGTATTTCTTTTATGGTATGACACTAAAACATAGAAATACAAAGTGGCTATGCTTACGCAGACATGTAGTGCATAGCAAGAGTTAGTTTTAAGGTTAGGGTAAAGCCAAGTCGACCAATCAGTGCGTTGAGATTTTGATAACTTCATTGTGGACACAGGATTAAAATACTCCACATTAGAAATGTAGAAAGTGTGATATATGATTTGATGGAGAAATAGGCCTACTATATAGACTTTCTTTAGCTTGTGTTCTTACCATTATTGTTGTTGTTACTATTATTATTATTATTATTATTAATATTATTATTATTATTATTGAATGATAATATTATTATTTTTTAAAATATTTTATATTATTTATTTGTATTCAATTTTTAAAAATATATTTTATTATTTTTTATTATTCTGCTGTCTGGGTTGGACGAGTTAAAGATAAATTCCCTCATAGCCCCACCTCCCTTCAGGCTTACTGCTCTCAGTTTCTGTGTGGCTATCTATTTTTTGGATTGTCAATAATGGATGCATACAACAAAAAGCATATGTACGCTATCCTTACAGCACCGTATCTTTCGAGACAATTCGCCTAGTCTTGCCCCTACTACTTGGCTCTCTTTCGATTTGTTTTATGTTTGTCCCACTTTATTTAGAATATTATATTTTCCAGATATGATCCGACGACCCTGTTAAAAAACTTCACGACCCATACATGGGTCATGCCCCATGGGTTGCTGACCATAGATTTAAAGTTAAAATATTAAAATTAATACATTTACAACAGATACATAACTCAAACGAAGAGGGAGAAATTTTTAAGATACTTTCCATACTATGTAAAGCTGCATTCACACCCGATCCAAACCAAAATTTGTAGAACGTTTTCGATGCGTGTCTAGTACGCGCCTTTATTCTTTACCACTGATTCAATTTTTTATTTTTTGTTTCGTTTAGCCATATGAACCAAATTCAGATTTGGTGTGAATCTACCTTAAGGGTTATGATTACCTGTCTGTTTTTATCACACGGTCCTTTACGCAGCCTTCTGTTACTCTTTTTCATTTCAATATTAAACTCTGCACCCAACTATTTTGCTATTTGTAGGTTTCTTTTATATTATTTTTGTTACATTCAGTTCATGACAGCATGAGCACTATATAAATTTTCACCCAAACCATTACCAACTCCTTACCATAACCAAGTATCTATGTTGCTTCCACAGATATCTGTATCAAAAGCGTTACAGTTTATAAATAAAAAAGATTTTGAGTGTGCCATCTGCCTCAACAGGTTTCAACAACCAAAGACACTGAAATGCACGCACACCTACTGTGTGACATTTTAATAACAATATAATACTCAGGCGGACTGGTTGGCATTCCAAGCATAATAAATTCAGGTGCCGCAGTAGTCACACACTGTCGCTGGAGCCTATTTTAATTATTTCAACTTATAGTCATTTGTAACAACTTCCTAATTATATAAACAAACTGAGTCCCATAAGAACACTGCTAGTTTAAAAAAATGCCCACATTCAACAATTAACCTTTCTGCAGCCTTAAATGACCTCCAACAATCAATATTTTACAACTCCCTGATAATTACAGAATTATGTCAGTGCACTACAAAATATCCACCCATTAATTTGTTGTATTTTCAGATGTCTGTATCCAAAGCATTGCAGTTTATGGATAAAAAAGATCTTGAGTGTGCCATCTGCCTCAACAGGTTTCACCAACCAAAGACACTGAAATGCATGCACACCTACTGTCTACAGTGTATCCAGAAATGGGTGGAAACTCATGGAAAGATGAAATGTCCAACATGTGGACAAGAACATGATTTAACAAAGGAAGACCTAAAAAAGCTGGTTTCCAATACAATGATAAGTGAACTACTAGAGTATGTCACGAAAATTGAGGATCAGAAACCGACTAAATGCTCTTTCTGTGACAATCAACCATCGTACCACTGCTCAACATGTCAGCTGTATCTATGTGGAGGCAACTGTATCAAACAACACAAGGCCGTACCTTCAACTAAGGATCATCCACTTTACACATTAGACATAAAAAAACAGGAGGGCAATCAATGTCCAGCTCACTGCAACAACACACTAGAATTTTACTGCACTACTTGTAACAAATCTGCATGTAAGCAATGTGAACACATTTTTCACTGTTATCAAAAACAACATGAAGTGATTCCAATGTCAACTGCTGTAGATGAGTTTAACAAAGATGCCAATGAAATTGTTAAGTTAGCTCATGAAATTGAAAATAAATTAACAGAAAAACTAAAAATTTTAACTAAAGACAGATTACAATTTGATTCCCAAGTAAAGTTATGCAGAACAGCCATAGAAATTCATGAAAAGAAACTTATCAAGAAAGTTCAAGAGAAAAGCAAAGAATTAATATCAGATCTTGACAATATATACAAAACAAATAAAGGAAATTTCGATAGTGAAGTTAATGATATTGATTCAAAGATGACTCAATTAAAGAATCTAATAGTTTCAATCAATTCAATAATGAACAAACCAGAAAAAACAAAAACTCTTTCATCCAAAATGAAAACTATAAAAGCTGTTAAAGACAGTGTCCTAGAAACTGATTTTGAACAATCATTTCAACAGAGAAATATCAAACCAAATTGTATTCCATCCATGCAACTGGATGAGTTGATGAATACCGAGGGCATTGGTAAAATCACAACTGCTGATAGCATGACATACAATGTTGCTGAAGATGATGAACAAATTACTGTGACAAAAGGTCAACCATTTGTAGTGAAAGTATCAAGTCCAACAGAAACTAATCAATTAGTTGCAACACTACTGAACTCATCAGGTGAAGAATCAGCAACTCAGATGGAATATCAGGAAGGTAAAGAGTACAAAATAACAGGTAGATGCAATGTGGAAGGTAATTGGAAAATGAAGATCACGGTTGGCGCTGCGCACATAAAAGGATCTCCTGTGAATATCAAGGTAGAAACACTGGGACTTGTTCATACCATTGATAACATATCAGATTATAAAGAACATAATAAAACAGAGAATGTGACAGACGTAATTTTAGATAGAGATGGATGCATATTAGTATCAAGCTGTAGTAAAGATATATTGAAATTCAACCAATCCGGTTCATTTGTTGCCAGGATACAGGTACCACAAGATTTAGAGATCTATTGCATGCATCCAACAGGTGATGGTCACATATTGTTTAGTGATGAATTAAAAAATTGTGTTGTAATGTGTGATTATAAATTTCAAAAAGTCCGCTCATTTGGTAATTGGATGTTGGAAAATCCATGTGGCTTGACATTCAACAAGGAAACTAGAGCCTTGTATGTTGTAGATCGTGATGCTCACTGTATTTATAAATTCAATGTTGATCATGGTAGATATCTTGGCACATTAGGTTCAAAAGGTAATGGAGTGGGTCAAATGCTGCACCCAACAGATGTTGCTTTGACCAAGGAAGGTCATGTGATTGTTGCTGACAATGGAAATCAAAGAATACAGATGTTTGATGCAAATGATAGGTTTATGACAACTTTGATACACAGTGGTGAGGAAGATGGTGAACTTGATGATCATAATGACGAAGATGGCGATGAAGATGGCGATGAAGATGGCGATGAAGATGGCGATGAAGATGATGATGAAGATGGCGATGAAGATGACGATGAAGATGACGATGAAGATGATGATAGTAGTGGTACACTCAGTGCTTCAGGTCCTTGTGGTGTAAATATTGATTTTGAAGAAAATATTTTAGTATCCTCAATTAGTAATGGATTAAAATTATTTGATAAAAATGGTGTCTTTATAAAACGAATTGATCATGCAGATGATGGATTAGAATGTCCATGTGGAATCCATGCAATCTCCGTTAGACCAAGAAGAGTAGCAGTAGCAGACCACATTGCCAACAACATTAAAATATTTAATTATTAAAATGACATTGAATTGCATGAATCATAGCATCATAAAAATGATCTATTTTAATACGTTTACATTAATATGATTGGTTTTATCATGGAGGTTATACATACAGTATATATATATACCATGGGGAATCCATGCAACCTCCAAGACACTAAGAGCAGCAGTAGCTGACTATAAGTGCAAACAATGTTAAAACTTTCAATAATTAAAATGACATTTAAATGCATGAACCATAGTAGGGAGTTTCGATGGACGACGTTAACCTTAACTTGAATGGATGACGTCATAATTTATTCATCTTACGTTGCGGAGTATGTTAATTTCAGAATTTTTACGTGCTCGACGTACGTTAGTTACGGGTTTGAGCATGCGTATTTCGATTTGTTTACAAAAGGGGCGGAGCTATCGCGCTGCGTGTTGGGTACTAACGTTAAAGTTAAGGTTAACGTCGTGCATCAAAAACTCCCTATTATCATAACAATGTAATATACATTTCATATCTATTGTGGTACATTTCAATATGATTATTTTTATCACGTAGTTTATATGAGGCTTGTCATCCCAACTGTGTCTGATTGTTAAACTGAGCAACCAGCATTAAGAAAAGTCTCTTTAGCAAAGAGAATATGTATCTACTCATAACTTTAACAATAGAAAGTTGATTCTAATAATGACCCATCATTTTGAATACTTATAATGTGGAGAATATGAATATAAAAAAGTCAACTGTCATGGTTTTGTCACTGAGGTTGGTTTTTGTATGGCAAGCACCATATGTAAATAATAATAATAATAATTATAATAATAATAATAATTATAATAATAATATATATATATATATACATATATATGATGATAATAATAATATATATATATATAACATTACAATAAATAACTACATTTAAAGCCTGGCACACACCTGGTTTGCTCAGTTGGCGCTAGACACCGTCTGCTTATCGTCCTTAGCAAACCGAGCGGATTGTCCTTAAACAATGCTATTTTATGTGCCTCATTGACCTGCCCAGTTTTATAAACATCAATAATAATTTTGTATATTTAAGTACTACTGTATACTCTTAGTTGCATAGTTCCAACTAGTAAAAAAGTACTATTGTATAATACTGTACATATTTGTAGTTGTATAATTTCAACTATAAAAGTTAATAGTAGATTCACATTTTAACATAGCTACATTGTTAGGGAGTTAATACATATGCCAAATATCAATGCTTTATCATGCGCGAGTTTGCATACTACGCGATATACTATAAGTAATCTGCTTACAATTATCAATTTCAAAATAAATGCATGGGAGTAAAATTATTACATATTATTGTTGCATTTTGTATGTACAAAGTTATACCACCTCCACTCTTTACAAAATAGATACAACATTAAAAACATTTTTAGCATCCCACCAATAGCAGCAATGAAGATTCTATATTTACAGTTTAAATTATGTTATTTACAGTATTAGGAATGGTGATTTTCATAAGATAGATAAGATAAAGTTTATCTTATCTTATATCTTATTATAATATAGTGATTTTCACTTCTATTTTTATTGATCTTAAGTAGTTTTAAGATTTCTTATTTTGTGTTTAAGTACTTGGATCTTAAAAAAGCATGTTCTTGATTTACAGCTAGGTGTAGGTATTTTCAGCCACCAAAATCTGTTTTAATGTTTACAATTCTATTTTAATTCAAAGATTAACAGCTTTTATTTTTCCCTGGTGATAGCTTACTGTCCATGTATTTTCGATGTACAGCTAGTCATTAAATTTTATTTCACTGATTACAATTCATATTTTCATTGTAGGGTCACCAATGTGTAAACTCTATCGTTTTTAGGATGATTACTTTCAATAATCAATGTTATAAAATTATCTTTTTTAATATGGATTTTCATTTGTTGGTAAATAAAGAATTTTAAATTGGAAATGTCTGCATTGCTTACCTGTTGATACTGTAGCTCAAGTATTTCTCTTCTTTATACCATACAAGCCAGACCAAGGCTGAAGTCTACTTTCTTTGGCTCAGGGAGGGTGGATATGTCAGGGAGAATGAGGTTAGCTTGTAAGCCCCCTGGCTCCTGTCATGCCCTTGTCTGATAGTGGATCAGATGCTTAGCCTCAGTTGAAACCTAGAATATACAAACAATATCCAAAAGTCAATCATGTACAGTAATTTCATGACTTGAAGAGTGATTAGTGCAGCTGTTAGTGGTTAAGATGGTCTCTTTCCAATCCAAAATTCTGATATTAACATCATACTGATGAACACATTCTAATATTTTTGAAATTAAAATAAACCTCTACCATCATTCTGCCAACTGCCAAAATGTGCTGCCAGTGATTTGAAAGCTAAACCCTAAAGAAAAACAGGCATATGTGGCAAAGACAAGCCAAACCAGTCACTCGTCGCAAATAATGATCAGAGATATTGCCAAAACATGCTGGAATGTCAAATTTTAAAAATCTATTTTATTGCACTAAACTAACCTTTATATAGCTATACATCATGCTATGCTGTTATTTTCCCCATTTTCAATATTAAAACAACATTTTTTAACGATTTGGTGATAATCTTTGCCTGAGAAATACACAAAATAAACTTTGAAGGCAGATTTCTCAAATATTGTCCTTTAAACAGCTGTATGTTAAAATGTTTGTAAAAGGAAATGTCTGATTTAAACGATTCTTTTACCATTTTGTAGCTCTCATTTTACTGTTTAACCATGTATTAATAACTAAAAATTTATTTTTTGCGACTAGTGACTGGATTAGCTTGTCTTTGCCACATATGTTGTTTTGTTTACCAATCAGCATGAGGCGTATAATGTATAATTATACTGTAATTTGTGCGTTTCTTAAAGCTCTTTTAATTGCATACATACATATTTTAACTTTACTGTGAGCCTATGAAACAAATAATGATTATAATTTACAATGTGAACTGATAACAAAAAAAAGAAGAAACTTGATATGAATTTGTCACTAGGACAGCAAAAGAATGCAAAACAGAAAAAAAAAGTACCCACCCAGTTTTGAACTGCTTAAAGCAGAATTAGTCTTTCAAAGTCAAAAGGTGTTGTCAAATTTGAAAGAAGAATGCAGAACTCAATTCAGCAAAGAATATATATTTTTAATCTCATGTTCATCTTGTTGGTTCACCATTTTGATGTGTGTGAGTCCCAACGTCTTCAGACGACTGGCTGCTTGTTGTACATACTATACCACAATAAAAAAAAATAAATAGTATATAGTATTCTACAGCTTGAAATGTCTAGTTTGATTAAATCTCACCCCAGATTTTTATTTTAATTGAATCCATTGAAATTATATAGGGGTTTTGTGACTCATTTTAACTCATTAAAGATGTACTGTCCTTTGAAAATGAAATAAAATTCATACAAATTAATTTTGAAATTAACTAGCTCACTTTGCACATATACACATTTAACTTGAGCATAGAAATTATTTGAATTTCCAAAATGTGTTCCCTGATTTTTATACTGGATAATATGTATTGTTCTTGGAACAATACATCTTTATACACAAACTTACAATTAAACAGTCATAAACAGAAATCCTAAAAATCCAACTACGTTGACAACAATTATGAAAAGTAAGAATGCAAATCCAATGAAATAAATATTTATCAATTAAAGTGGAATGGCCAAGCGGTTATACAGGGGCAGCGATACCTACAACCATAATATTGTGCTGTTTCGAACAGCATGCTCGCCTGGCAATGGTGCAACGTTGGGGTCCTGTGGCTTCTTAGCCTGAGGGCCTCTTTGTTGGTCTCACCAATCAACATTTCCATAGTGGACTTTTAGATATGCTCATTTTTAATCATGTTTGTCATGTGTTCAAACTAACTACGAAATAACGATGTCATATCAGTGGCGGATCCAGAAATATCTATACAACCTCAGGCCCACCATGAGGTAAGATAATTTATGAATATGTTACATCTAGATAGCTGTAAGTTTCACTACAGACTTACAATTTGTATATAATTTTCTTTTTATCTCCATTTTTTAAATGATTTTGACACTTCTAGGGGGAACCTGTTAGGGTTTTGTCCTACAGTAGATGTCAGAGACATAATATGCTCTTATATCGACAAAGTCCTTTTAGGTTGGGGTGCTACATCGAGGATCAAAAGGTCTGGGCCCTGTAGAGTGCCGCATTACGCCATTGTCTCTGGTGGGAATTGATTCTACAATCTTTTGCTATCTCGGCCAGCTAATGCCATTTAGAACACAGAGGCCCGTGCGATATTATTACGGAAGACCACTTCTTCCTTTTATTCAACTTGAGGGCTCACACATAGTGGAGCCAATTTTTAAGCTTTGTATGGTAGCAGCTATATAT